TGCCCAGCTGGGAAACGGGCCGAGGGCAAACCCCTGGGTCCGGAGGTGCCGGGGGAGAAGCCGGAGAAGCCGGAGCGCCGGTCGGAGCCCGGCACGGTGGTGCAGGCACGGTCGAGCGGTGACTGAGGGTGCCGGACGGGGACACGGGGGTGGAGGTGCTTGGCGGGCGCCGGACAGCAGCTCCGTGGGCAGAGATCCGAGGGGGCTTGGGGTTTATTAAAGGGGCTGGAGACGCCCTGAAACCCTCCCGTCGTTTTTAAAATCCGCTTCTTAACAGACACACTGATGGGTTTTACTACTGAATGAAGGAAATGTAAACTGCACCCCCCCCCCCAGGCCTCAGCGCGAGGCCGGCTCTGCCTGCCGTCCTCCCCGCAGCAGGGCCTGGGCCCCACATGTGGGCCCTCACGCCACGGCCGCTTCCTCCCGTCCTAGGGGTGCCTGTGGGCGGGCGGTGGCAGGAGGTCCTGCCCGTGACCCGGGAGCACAGCCGTGACCACGTCCTGCTGTTCAACGACGCCCACTTCCTGATGGCGGCCCTGGGCGCGGGCGACACCCAGACCACGCAGGAGCTGCTGACCACCCTGCAGGAGGCCAGCGAGTACGCGGCCGGGCCCTGTGCGGGGAGGCTGGGGGCCGGGCCCCTGAGCGGGGAGGCTGGGGGGCCCTGTGCAGGGAGGCTGGGGGGCCGGGCCCTGTGCGGGGAGGCTGGGGGGCCCTGTGCGGGGAGGCTGGGGGGCCGGGGAGGCTGGGGGGCCCTGTGCAGGGAGGCTGGGGGGCCCTGTGCGGGGAGGCTGGAGGGCCCTGTGCGGGGAGGCTGGGGGGCCCTGTGCGGGGAGGCTGGGGGGCCCTGTGCGGGAGGCTGGGGGCCGGGCCCTGTGCGGGGAGGCTGGGGGGCCCTGTGCGGGAGGCTGGGGGCCGGGCCCCTGAGCGGGGAGGCTGGGGGCCCGGGCCCTGTGCGGGGAGGCTGGGGGGCCGGGGAGGCTGGGGGGCCCTGTGCGGGAGGCTGGGGGGCCGGGGCCCTGTGCGGGGAGGCTGGGGGGCCGGGCCCTGTGCGGGGAGGCTGGGGGGCCGGGGAGGCTGGGGGGCCCTGTGCGGGAGGCTGGGGTCCGGGGCCCTGTGCGGGGAGGCTGGGGGGCCGGGCCCTGTGCGGGGAGGCTGGGGGCCGGGCCCTGTGCGGGGAGGCTGGGGGGCCGAGGTGGGCACGGCTGTGGGAATGTGTGTGTCCAGGGCTGCGCCCTCCAGGTGGGCAGCCAGGGGCGGGGGTGGGGTGCCAGCAAGGGCACCGTGCTCTCCCAGGACGTGTTGCTCTCACCCCGGTGGGCGGACAGCCTCCTGTCCCTGGGAGCCTCCCACAGGGGGCGTGGTGGAGTCCCCGAAGCACTTCTTCTGCTTGGGCCTCAGTTCCAAACCGGGCAGAGCTGCTGAGGCCGGTGGGACAGCGACACGCCTGGTGGGGCCCCTGCCCATCACCTGGAGGCGGAGGGCGGCCGGGAGGCGGGGCCTCCAGGGGGTCCTGAGGTGCAGCCAGGCCTGGCCTCACCTGGAGCTCTAGCCTCGGGGAGCAGGGAGGGGCGTCCTCCAGGCGAGGTGCCCAGCGCTGGGCAGGCCCTGAGGGCACCTTCTCGTGGCAGGTCCCCCGGGGAGAACTGCCAGCACCGCCTGGCCCGCGACGTGGGGCTGCCCCTGTGCCAGGCCCTGGTGGAGGCCGAGCGCGGGCACCCCGACCGTGTCCTGGAGCTGCTGCTGCCCATCCGCTACCGCGTGGTCCAGATCGGGGGCAGCAACGCGCAGGTGAGCCCTCGGGCCGCCCGCCGCCCGCAGCCCGGCCCCGAGGTGCGGCACCCAGTGTGGGGTGCCCTCCTTCGCCCATTCCCGGCGCCTGACCCCCGTCCGGTGACCTTGCAGAGAGACGTCTTCAGCCAGCTGCTCATCCACGCCGCCCTGCAGTGCACCGAGGGCCCCCTCAGGAACGTAGCCCGGTGAGTGCGCCGCCCCCACGGCCGGCCTCAGGTCACGGCTCTCACCGGGGTCTCCCATAGTGTTTGAATGTTCAGCAGCCCCACCTCCCTGGGCCTGGGTGGTCCCAGCTTTGAGGTTACACAGACCCAAGGCTCTGCTGTGCTGCTCAGTCTCTCTTGTTGCCATGCCAACCTGTCCACAGGGCACAGCCCAGCTCTTCACGCTGATCGCTACCCGGACGCCTGCTTTTGCGGCCCCGGGCCTTGGCACGTGTGTGCCCTTTGTCTCCGATAAGTCCTCCTTTCCCACCTGATGCGCCTACCCAGCCTCCAGGCCTCAGTGCTGGTCTCTGCCCGACCCAGCTGGTGCTGGGAGGCTGTAGGGGGCAGACCCAGGCCCGGCTGCCCTGCTGCCTGGCTGCCCCCTCCCACAGCCTGGGAAGGGAGCACCTCAGCCCCAGCCCATGCTGCCTGGGTCCTGCCCCAGGGCTGAGTGACCCATTGGGCCCCCACTCGCTTCTAGAAGGTTCCACCACAGCCCCATCTGTTCCCGCAGAAGCCTTCTGATGGAGCGGGACGCCTTGAAGCCCGGCTCGCCCCTGACGGAGCGGCTCATGCGCAAGGCAGCGGCCGTCCACCTCCTGCAGTGAGCGGGCCGCCCAGCCGCAGACCCCCGCCCCGGCCTCCAGCCTGGGGCCACGCCCGCCAGGCCTGAGGGGGTCTGCAGCTTTAAACAGAGCCTGTGACCCGGGCGTCACAGGAAGAGGGGGTGTGACTGTAGATGTGATTCAGACTCTCCTTCTAATCCTAGTTCACGGCCACGGGCCTTGCAAATCCTGTTGTTCCGGGGGGAGCAGGGGTGGGATGGGGCGGCTCAGCGGGGAGGAGGGCAGGGGGATCTTCACAGCCCCAGGGCACCCCCCCAGGCTGCCCCTGGGGTAACCCTCTTGCCTCTGCAGCCGCCTCTGGGCAGGTTGGGGAGAGGGAACCAGTGGGGCAGGGACTTGCCCAGGCCTCAGCCGTGGAGGCCCTGGCCCTCCTGGGGGAGGCACCTCACCTCAGCCTCCCCTCCTCCGGGCACTCGGGGGCGGTGGTGACACTGGGAGGGCTTGCCTCTTTGTCCTCAGCTGCATGTCCTAAGGCCCCACGTGGTTTCCCCGAGCCGCCTGCTTTCGGGGTGAGGGAGCTGGGGCGCCCTGTTGACGTGGCGTCCACAGGCGTCTCGGCGCCTGCTTCCCGCGCTCACCGGCCCACGGCCTGAGCCAGGCTTCGGTTTAATGTGCGGCCAGAGCCGCCCCTGGGATGAGCAGGACCCCGAGAGGGGCCGGGAGATGGTGCTCCCCCCTTGGAGCTCTCTCACCGGCCTGGGGCAGGGCCAGGCCTGGACTTCCTGTCCCTTCAGCCCGCACATTCTCCTCTTCCTAAAGCTGGTGTGGCCGGCAGCCATGGCTCAGGGGTTGAGTGTGGACCTAGGAACCAGTTCACGGTCCCGTTCCCAGTCAGGGGCACACGCCCGGGTTGAGGGCTTGGTTCCCAGAAGGGGGCGCATGCAGGAGGCAGCCGATCCATGATTCTCTCTAATCATTGATGTTTCTACAGCTCTCTCCCTCTCCCTTCCTCTCTGAAGTCAATAAAATCATATTAAAATAATAATAAAGCCAGCGTGACCCTGGTTGGGGTTTCCTACTCCAAAGGCTCTTGGGAGTGGCTGGGATTTGCACCCGGTCTGCCTGGCTCCATCTCCCTCCTCCGGGTAAGCAGGATGCTGAGAGAGCCCTCGCCCAGCTCCAGCCTGGCCCCGCGCGGGGCTGGCGAGGCTGGAGGACGGCTGGCTGAGGCCCACCTGCCCTGTAGGAGCTCAGTCTCTTGAGCCCGACTTGGGATGAGAAGGGAAGGGGACCACGGCCACACGGAGTGGTGGGTGTGGATGGTGTGGAACCAGAGCCCAGGGGATCCGGGAGGCCTCTTAGTGGAAGGCCGGGCACAGGCTGGCCTCCCTGGACAGATCTCACCTGCCCTGCCCACATCGATGCCTCATCGTCTCCCTCCAGTCCCATCTTTCCGGAGCCCAGCCTGTGGGTCACCGGCTTCTTCCCCCTGCCCGCTCCGCCATCCTTCAGTGCGTTCATCACAGCCAGGCTTCCAGACCCTGCCCTGGGCAGCGCCCCCAGGCTCACGTGTGGTCATCTGAGCTGCCTGGCCTCCGTCAGCCCCTCTCAGGTCAGGGGTGTCCTGCTGGCTCCATCACGTGCACTCCCCATGCAGACCCGTCACCTGGCCACCGGACTCTCCAACCTGCACCCTCCCCCCCAGACCCGTCACCTGGCCACCGGACCCTCCAACCTGCACCCTCCCCCCCAGACCCGTCACCTGGCCACCGGACCCTCCAACCTGCACCCTCCCCCCCAGACCCGTCACCTGGCCACCAGACGCTGCCTGGAGGCGCACCCCTCCAACCTGCACCCTCCCCCCCAGACCCGTCACCTGGCCACCGGACGCTGCCTGGAGGCGCACCCCTCCAACCTGCACCCTCCCCCCCAGACCCGTCACCTGGCCACCGGACGCTGCCTGGAGGCGCACCCCTCCAACCTGCACCTCCCCTCCCCCCCAACTAGTCCAGCTGCAGGGGACTAAAGCCCAGACAGGCTCTGGTCACTGTCCCCCGAGGCCGGAGAGCTGCTCCTGCTCCAGGGCCCAGACCAGGTGCCCCGGCCTTCCCACTGGGCTAGGAGCCACGTGCAGCTTTACAAAGCGGGTGGAGAGCCCACCTCGCCTAGTCTTTTTTTTTAATTTTTTTTATTAGTTTATTTGAGGCAAATTGATGACTGGCTGGGAAGCATGATCTTTTTTTTATTTTTTATTTAATATATTTTTTTGATTTTTTTTACAGAGAGGAAAGGAGAGGGATAGAGAGTTAGAAACATCAATGAGAATCATCGATCAGCTGCCTCTTGTACATCCCCTACTGGGGATGTGCCCGCAACCAAGGTACGTGCCCTTGACCGGAATCGAACCCGGGACCTTTCAGCCCACAGGCTGATGCTCTATCCACCAAGCCAAACCGGTTTCGGCCTCCTCTAGTCTTTACAACACTCCGTGGGAGGAAGTTAATTGCCTCCATTTACAGCTGAAGAGCGGGGATCAGAACCCACATCCGCGGCCCGAGGCTAAACCTGCGGGACGGGCGGAGCGGGGCTCGGAGCAAACCCTGCCCGGTCTGCACTGGCCTCTGGCCTGCGCAGCTCGGCCGCGCTGAGGCAGTGCGCACGCGCGCCGGCGCCTCCTCCCAGGCGTGCGGACTACAACCCCCAGGATGCACCGGGCACGGCGACCTCGCAGAGCCCTTTTCAAACCGGCCAATGGCTGCGCGCGGCGCTCCCACCGCGCCGCGTTTAAATCCGGGCGGAGGCGTGTGTTTCGGGGCGTCGCAGCGGATACAGGTGGGGGTCCTGGGGGGCCGGGGCTGGGGCGCGGGCCGGGCGTGGGAGGTCCCGCGCATGCTCGTCGGGACTTTGGCAACCGAAGCCCCGCAGCCCTGTCGGCCGGCTTTGGTTCCGTTGCCGCCGAGTGTCCGGCCTGGCTCGGACCCGCGCCACCCCCGCAGCCGCCGGCGTGGAGGTGCGCGGCCTGGGGGCGGGGGCGTCGCGGAGCGTCTGTCCGCGCTGCCAGGCGCACGCTGCTGGGCGTCCCCGAGCGGAGGACCCGGGCCTGGGCCCGGCCCTGCTCACTTACCTGTCCCCCTCCTCCTTTCTCCCCCTCCTCCCTCCTCCTCCTCCCTCCTCTCCTGCCCCCTCCTCCCTGCTCCCCTGCCCCCCTCCTCCCTGCTCCCCTGCCCCCTTCCTCCCTCCTCCCTTGCCCCCTCCTCCCTCCTCCCCTGCCCCCCTCCTCCCTCCTCTCCTGCCCCCCTCCTCCCTGCTCCCCTGCCCCCCTCCTCCCTGCTCCCCTGCCCCCTTCCTCCCTCCTCCCCTGCCCCCTCCTCCCTCCTCTCCTGCCCCCTCCTCCCTCCTCTCCTGCCCCCTCCTCCCTGCTCCCCTGCCCCCTTCTTCCCTCCTCCCCTGCCCCCTCCTCCCTCCTCTCCTGTCCCCCTCCTCCCTCCTCCCCTGCCCCCCTCCTCTCCTGCCCCCTCCTCCCTGCTCACCTGCCCCCCTCCTCCCTCCTCACCTGTCCCCCTCCTCCCTCCTCCCCTGCCCCCCTCCTCCCTGCCCCCTTGCCCCCCTCCTCCCTGCTCACCTGCCCCCCTCCTCCCTGCAGACAGCCTTGCTGGTAGCTCCGGGCATGGAAGGAGGCAGAGGCAGAGGCGGCAGTGACGGGCTACCAGCCGGCCAGGCCGGAGGAGCGGAGACGGAGGCTCCCAGGAAGGAGGGTACGTCCTGGTCCCTGGGGCGCGTGGCTGGGGGCTCAGTGGGAGACGGTTGAAGAATCCTCCCGTGAGAACTGAATATTCATGAGGTGCTCCCTGTCATCGAGGAGTTGGCCTCTGTCCACCTTATTATTGTTTTTGAAATCTCCACCCGAGGACCAGCGCGTGTCACTGTTCTCCGTGTCCCCTCGGGCTGCGCTGCCACTGCCTCCCTGCGAGGGGGCTGCGGTCCTGCTGCCAGAGCTGCTGCAGCGGACCCGGGCGGACACTGCGGGAGGGCGGTCCTGGGCCGAGGGCGGGCGCCTGCGTTTTGGGGGTGCTGCCGGACCCCGTGGTGACACACCCTCTTTCCCGCAGCCAGCCTGGCGGGGAGTGGGATTTCACGCTGACTTTATTTTCATCACTTTTAGTTTTTGGAGGGAGGCTGAACTGGCATAGGTCTAAGAACACATTCTATTCCCATACGCTTTCTTTTTTATGTCTTTCTTTTTATTTTTATTCCCATACGCTTTCCCTGTCCATGCTCTCTGTCCGTCTTCCCGCCCGTTGTGGATCGCCTTCTTAGCGAGTGCAGGCCCGCTCAGGAGCCGGCCCTTCGTGACGGGAGTGCAGATACGCTTGTCCCTGTGTGGTCTCTCAGCGTGGCCGTGGTGGCGTGTGCAGGCGGAGGTGTGAGGCCTTTCACGTATTGGATTGGCAGCCTCTCCTGTGTGGCTTCCAGCTGGTGCCACAGCCCGCCACACTTCATGTTTTATTTATACCTTTGACTTATTTGAACTTTGTCCTGGTGTGATGTGAAGTGTGGATCAAATGTCACATTATTTCCCCCCACAACTCAGTACCCTTCACTGAACAATTCATTTTCTCCTTTATTTGGCCATTGGAGGCCCGGTGCATGAAATTTGTGCACGGGCAGGGCTGTGTCCCTCAGCCCACCCTGCACTTTCTCCAGTCTGGGACCCCTCAAGGGATGCCCGACTGACCCGCTGAGATTGGGCCTAAACGGGCAGTCAGACATCCCTTTCACAATCCAGGACTGCTGGCTCCCAACTGCTCACCTGCCTGATCACCCCCTAACCACTGCCTATCTGCCCGATCAATGCCTAACTGCTCCCCTGCCAGCCTGATTACCCCTAACTGTCCTCCCTTGCCAGCCTGGTCACCCACAGTTGCCCTCCCCTGCAGGCCTGGTTGCCCCCAACTACCCTCCCCTGCTGGCCATCTTGTGGCAACCATGTTTGACCATGCAGTGGTAGCCAGCCATCTTGTGTATTGAAGTGATGGTCAATTTGCATATTTTCTCTTTATTATATAGGATGTTACTTTTATGATACACTAAGTGTTTTTTATATTCATCTTGTCTACTTCTTGCTAAGGCTTCCTCATAGGTATTTTGTATTTCTTGCTGATGCTGTAAATGGGGTCTTTTCTCCCATATATTTTCTTCTAACTATGAAAGCCATTGGCTGCTGTGTGGCGCAGTCGGTTGCAGTATCGTTCCCATACACCAGCAAGGTCGTGAGTTCGATTCCCAGTCAGGGCACATGCCCAGGCTTCGGGTTTGATCCCCAGTGAGAGCACTTACGGGAGACAACCAATCAATGTTTCTCACATCAGTAAAACATATCCTCGGGTGACGATTGAAGAAAAAATGCTAAATAACAAAATACTACTACACTGTTTTCTAGAAAATTATCCATTTCAGTCAAATCCTTGTTTATGTGCATAGAGTTGAACAAATTAGCCTATGAGTCTTTTAATATCCTCTCTGGTTCGTTTTGTTTCTTCGTGCGTTTTCGTTTTTACCTTTCCCTTGATTGGGTGGTTAGGACTAATTAAGTGGACTAATTTGAGACTAATTAGGATATTAGTATATTTTAGACTAGAGGCCCAGGACACAGATTCGTGCAGAGGTGGGGTCCCTCAGCCTGGCCTGCGCCCTCTTGCAATCCAGGACCCTGTCGGACTGTCCTGTGGGGATCGGGCCGAATCCGGCAGTCTGCCGTCCCCGAGGGATGTGGCAGTGCCGAAGCAGCAGGCGGCCGGGGGGGGCCCTCGCCGCTGACCCCCGCTGTCCTGCTGCACCACCGCTGCCTCCGCCGAGGCCCCGCCCTCGGCTGCGCTCACCAGCCATGACCCCGCTTCCGGCTGAGCTGCCAGGCGGGCAGCTCCTGTGTTGAGCATCTGCCCCTGGTGGTCAGTGCACGTCGTAGCGGCTGGTTGTTGGGAGAGATTTTACGGTTTTGCTGAGCATGCTGCATTATCAGGGACCGGTAGGGCAGACGCTGCGAAGTCCTGTGTGGCTCTGAGTGAAGCATCAGTGCAGTGCACTTGGCGAGGGTCTGGCTGTGTCCTGGCCCTCTCGGGACAGTGGGGGACCTTTGTTGTCTCTGAGGAGCTCACAGCCTCGCTGGGGCCGCAGGAAGGAGGGTCTGGGGACTTTTACGGAACGGGAGGCGGAGCCCCGGGGAGGGGGAAGGGGAGGAGCACGAGGTCCCCCAAGAGGGACCGGCCCAGCGCCTGTGCTGTGCGGAGTCGGGCTCAGACGCACGGGCTCTGGAGGTGCCGGGGGCAGTGTGGGCTGGGGGTCCGGAGGGCCTCCGGGAAGAGGGCGGCAGCAGATCCGTCCACTCGGAGTCCCGGAGCGCTGGAACCACGCGGAACGGGTTTCCGAGGGGAACGGCCGTCGGGGTTGGGAGCGGGCTTTCCTGGAAGCTGTCCTGTGGCTGACGCTGCCTGGCCAGCCAGGGGGCCGCAGGGGCGGCGTGCGGTCAGACCAGGCCGAAACCCAGGCTGCGCCTTTGGGCCCGCTCGGCAACACGGAAGAGCTGTTTTAAAAAGAAAATGGGGAAAAAGTACGGTGACCTGAGCCGCTGTGGGAAGGCGACGGTAAAAAGCGGTGGGCAGCGGCGCTTCGGGGGGTTTGTCCTCGTGTGGGCGGCGGGAGCCCTTCCCGAGATAACGGTGACCCTGCCCCCAGGCGTCCTCCTCCTGGCCGACGAGATGTTCGACTTCGACCTCTCGCTGTCGTCTCTCAGGTAAGAGCCGGGCCTCCCCCTCGCCGCGGGCGGACCTCGCAGGGACGCCTCCCGCGCGACCGGGTCCCTCACGGCCCTCCCTCCGACAGCGCCAGCGAGGACGACGAGGTGCTCTCCGGGCCCGCCCCCGGGGGCCCCCGCTGGAGCCCGCTGGCCGGGGAGGCGTTCGTGGAGGTGTGCCGGGAGGCGCGCCTGCTGGCCCTGCGGATCGGGAGCCGCGGCCGGAGCGCGCCCGCGCCGGGGCCCGAGGCAGGGGGCCGGGGCGGGGAGCGCTTCATCCAGGAGTCCCGGCTGAAGACGCTCCTGTTGGAGACGGAGAGCGGGACCAGGAAGAGCCCCGGCTCGCTGAAGAGGGAGACCTACTGCCTGACGGACAGCCCCGCGGCCGCGGGCCCCCCGCCCTCCCCACGGCCGGCTCTGCCCGCGGAGCCCAGCCCCGCGCCCCCTCCGCGCCCCGCCGTCCCTCAGAGGAAGGGCCTCAGCAGGCTGCCGCCGCCCCGCGCCGCCTCTGCCCGGGGAAGGGGCCTGCACGCCGCGGAGAAGGTGGGCACCGCCGTGGGCACCGCCGTGGGCACCGCCGCCCCACTGGTCTGGCCTGTTCTCCCCGCGGTGCAGCCCCGGGGGGCGGGGGGCGGGGGGCGGGGGGCGGGGGCGGAGCAGGGTCTGCAGGGACAGGCAGGGGCCCTGTGCCTGGCAAACACCTCCTCCGAAAGCCTGGCTGGCACCTTTTCTTTTACTTTGTTACAACACTGGACGTCCACCCACTGGGGCATACGTTTACGTTAACAAGCAACTTCCAGAAACCCCCGTGGGATGGCCCCGCGCCCTCCTCATTGTGACTCCGTTCCGATGGCTCCTCGGGGGAGTCAGCAGCGGGCTGTCAGGGAGGTGGCAGCGGACGGGTGCCTGTGGGTGCCGTCCTGGCAGCTTGAGGGGCAGCAGGGAAGGTGGGGTCGGGTGACACTGCTTCCAGGTCCAGCCTGCGGGGGCTGTGGGCCGGGGCGGGCTTCTCTCTGAGGAGCGGCCTGCGCCTGGCCCTCTGCCCCCCCGCCCCGGCCAGGCCCGGAGCACGGACGCTGAGGTTAGCGGTTCAGGTGAAGCAGGCGCCTCGCCAGGGCCCAGACACCCCTTCCTGCTCCACGCACACCTGCACCACACGACCCCTGTCCACCCCGGGGGCGGCTGCAGCGCCCGCTGGGCCTGGCCCAGGGGCGGAGGGGTGCCTGCGGTGGTGCTGAGCGAAGCCTGGGTGTGCACTTCGTTAACCGCCTGCTCTCACACCCCGTGGCCTCACAGCCTCCGAAAGAGAAGCCAGCCAGTCCTTCCAGGGTGAAAGCCCCAGGCGAGCAGGAACCCCACGGGGACAGGCCCCCCAACAAGGCCAGGGCGGCCCGGGACGCCCCCACCCTGCCAGCCAGCGGCAGCCACTTGGTCCAGGGCAAGCGATCGCTCCCTGCTCCCAGCAAGGTGGGTGGCGGGGCTGTGGCCTCGGGGCCTGAGTGGGGAGGGTGGCAGGGCAGTGGCCTCGGGGCCTGAGTGGGGAGGGTGGCAGGGCTGTGGCCTCGGGGCCTGAGTGGGGAGGGTGGCAGGGCAGTGGTGGCGGGGCCTGAGCGGGAGGAGTGAGGGCTGTGGGGGAGCGAGGGCAGTGTGCTGTGTGGGGGCCTGTCTCTGAATTACAATGAGGAGAGGGGGCTGGAGGGGGTGCCCGGGAGGCAGTGGTGAAATGCAGAGAGCAGGCCGGCGCCCCGAGGGGCCTGGCCTCTGCCCCGGAGCTGTGCGGGCAGGAGGTCGCCTCCCTGGCACCGAGGGCCTGACCCGGGGCTGCTCCCGCGGCCCTCATGGCGCCCGGCGGGACGGCGGGGGCGTCTGTGTCTGCGGCCCGGGCTCTCGCAGGCCTGGCCTCGCCGTCCCTGCTGCCCGCTGCTCCTCGCGGCTGCTTGCTCGTCCGCCCCACGCTGGGCCGCGGCATTTGACCTCTGGGCCTGGGGGGCCCCGTGTCCACGTCCCAGCCCCTCCCCACGGCGGCTGAGGCCAGGCCCGCGTGCTGCTCGGCCTCGCTCTGCTCTAATTGCAGGTGATGATTATTCAGTGGTTAAAGTTTAATTAAATTAAATTTTAAACGAGCAGCAGCTAAGGAGGTTGTTGATGGCTTTGACGTCTTGTTCCAGCTGGGGCTGAAGAAGACGCAGCTGAGGCCGCCGGGCTGCGCCGTGGCCCCCGCACGCCAGCCCTGCGCCCGGGGGTCCGTGTCCGGCCTGAGCGCCCGCCCCTGCGCCTCTGCGGCCGCCGGCAGAGGTAAGGCGGCAGACGCTCTGCGGCCACGGCTGGCCTGCGAGTGCTGGCTTCTCTCTGAGGCAGGAGACGGTCAGGGTCCCTGCCCTCGGGGTGCTTCCCCTCCCCAGGGAGAGGGCATTGCAGTTTGGGGGTGCAGCCGTCCCAAAGGGGTGAGTGCGGGTGCCTGAGGGCAGCGGGGGAGGTCAGGGTGAGGGTGGAAGGCCCCTCCCACTCCTGGAGGAAGGTGGAGCCGGGCTGCCCCCTGGTGGTGCGGGCAGGCCCCTGGAGGCGGAGGAAAGGCTGGTCTGGGGGATGGCACCCCTCCCGTCTGTGCTGTGCGGACTGCTGCTCGCCTGGCGCAGTGGGACTGCACAGAGCGTGGGAGTGGAGCTGACCGGGTGGGGATTGCGGGAACCTAAGTTGTTTCCCTGTCTTGAGGGCTGAGGGGAGATGCCTCCCCCTGCTGTTCTGTGGGCGTCAGCATGGGAGGCGCGGGACACGGGTTAGGGCGGGCGGGTGTCAGCACTTCTGGGGAAGGCCGGGCGACTGCCTGGGGCTCTGTTCACAGCAGAACCCTGCGGCCCAACTCAGACCCCGGAGTGTGGGGGCGGCCGGAGGCGGGACCCGGAGTGTGGGGGCGGCCGGAGGCGGGACCCGGAGTGTGGGGCGGCCCAACCCGGACCCCGGAGTGTGGGGGCGGCTGGAGGCGGGACCCCGGAGTGTGGGGGCGGCCCAACCCGGACCCCGGAGTGTGGGGGCAGCCGGAGGCGGGACCCCGGAGTGTGGGGCGGCCGGAGGCGGGACCCCCGAGTGTGGGGCGGCCGGAGCCGAGCAGCCTCAGCACGGTGGGCCCAGGGCAGGGCGGCTCGGCCCCGAGGGGTGAGGCGGAGGGCAGGCCGGAAGTGAGAGCCTCCCGCGTGCCCGGGAGGGGAGAGGGAACACGGCCGGGCACGCCAGGAGCTGCCCCGACACCGACACCGTCCTCCATGCCACTGGCAGTGCAGGGAGAGGGTCCGAGGCCGACCCGGGGAGGGCGAGAGGCGGGAGATCGGGGCCCAGGAAGCTTCGGAAGAGAAGCCGGGACGGGACGGTCACGCTGGGCAGCCAGGGCCCCGGGGTGGGGTCGGGAGGGGCCCCCGGCTTCCTTCCGCCGGCCAGCGCGGCTCTGGGCACCCGGAGCCCGGGGGCCCGCTCCCGGGGGACCGCTCGGAGCAGCTGAAGGTGCCTGTCCGTCCGTTTGCTGAGGCAGCAGGTGCCGGGGGAACACACGGGACCCAACGCCAGTGCGAGGCGCCGCCCGAGAGGCGGCCGGCCGGAGGGTGGGTCTGGTTCACGGGGAGACGGCGTTTTCTGACCACAAACCGGAGGGAGCCTTTGGGCCCAGCACTCGGCCCCGCTCGGCCCCTCCCAGCCCCCCGGCGGGCGGCACTGGACACCGGTGGGCGCGGTGACCTCCGGGTGTATCACCATCTGGAAGGGGGCGGGGAGCCTCACACAGACCGGTCTCCGGGTGTATCACAGCAAGGCCACCGGGCTGCCTCCGGGCGAAAGGGATCATGGGAATGTTTACCGTCAGGCACCGGTTGGGGTGTCCTGACCCCTCGGAGGGATGAGGCTGGGAGGTGGCCCTGGGCGGCCATGCGCCAGCTGACCTTTCCGGCAGACACCTCTGAGGGCCTTGGGCCTGTGACAGGGTGCCACCTGGACACACGCCCCCCTTCCGTGAAGCAGCCTGTGTCACTGTCAGTTAGAATGTCTGCCCGGGCTGTTGGCAGCCGAGTGTCTGCGCCCTGGTCTCTGTTCCTGGGGCCCCAGCACTCATCCTACAGCGGGGGGGAAGGGGAGGGTGAACGCAGGGAGGCTCGGCCCCTCGGCATCGGCGGGAGCCCCCGAGGCAGCTGGGCTGCCGCATTGGGGAGGGAGAAACCAGGCGTTCTGATGGCACAGACCGGTCTCCGGGTGTACACCATCCCAGAAGGGGGCGGTGAGCCCTCACACAGACCGGTCTCCAGGTGTATCCCCGGAAGGGGGCGGGGAGCCCTCACACAGACCGGTCTCCAGGTGTATCCCCGGAAGGGGGCGGGGAGCCCTCACACAGACCGGTCTCCAGGTGTATCCCCGGAAGGGGGCGGGGAGCCCTCACACAGACCGGTCTCCGGGTGTATCACCATCTGGAAGGGGGCGGGGAGCCTCACACAGACCGGTCTCCGGGTGTACACCATCTGGAAGGGGGCGGGGAGCCTCACACAGACCGGTCTCCGGGTGTATCACCATCTGGAAGGGGGTGGGGAGCCCTCACACAGACCGGTCTCCGGGTGTATCACCATCTGGAAGGGGGCTGTGAGCCTCACACAGACCGGTCTCCGGGTGTATCACCGGAAGGGGGCTGTGAGCCTCACACAGACCGGTCTCCGGGTGTACACCATCTGGAAGGGGGCGGGGAGCCTCACACAGACCGGTCTCCGGGTGTACACCATCCCGGAAGGGGGCGGTGAGCCCTCACACAGACCGGTCTCCGGGTGTATCACCATCTGGAAGGGGGGCGGTGAGCCTCACACAGACCGGTCTCCGGGTGTATCACCATCTGGAAGGGGGCGGGGAGCCTCACACAGACTGGTCTCCGGGTGTACACCATCCCGGAAGGGGGCGGGGAGCCTCACACAGACCGGTCTCCGGGTGTATCACCATCTGGAAGGGGGCGGTGAGCCTCACACAGACTGGTCTCCGGGTGTATCACCATCTGGAAGGGGGCGGTGAGCCCTCACACAGACCGGTCTCCGGGTGTACACCATCCCGGAAGGGGGCGGTGAGCCTGGAAAGGCAGCCCCACCCCCTGCCACGGGGAGCAGGAGACGGAGCGGGAAGGGCGTCTGGGGGGCCACTAGCGTTGTGCAGGCAGGTCCGCGTGGTTACTTTGAAAGGTGACCGGGAAAAGCAAAGCAGGAACGGGGGTGGCAGTGCCAAGCTCGGGTCCTGTGTGAGGGCCGGGCCCTGGTGTGAGTGGGTCCTCATTCCATAAAATGTCCGGTAGAACTCCCAGCTGCGTCCTCACTGTCGCTCCCCAGGGCCAGGTCTCTGCCGACACGGCCTTCGGGTGGCGTGGGGCCCGGTGAGCGCTGGCTGAGCCTGCTGGCTGCGGAATGGCCCTCAGCAGCCTGGGCCGCCCTCCCCCGTCTCCTCGTTCGGAAATGGCCCCGACGGTCAGTCCTCACTGGGAAGCGTCCAGGTGGACGTGTGAGGACAGCGTGTGTCCGTGCGTGAGCTGAGTGACTCCCCGAGTTAAACCAGAGGAGCTGAGTGACCCCATCTTTGTCTTCCAGCCAGACCCAGCGTCCCCGCAGACCGTGCCCGGCCTCCAGCCCCCGGCCAGCCGGGCCGCGCCGGAGCCCCCGCCGCCCGGGCGCCCCCCCAGCCGCAGACGCCGGAGCCGGGCGGCGGGAGGCCGAGCCCCCGGCCCAGTCTGTCCAGCTCGCAGCTGCGCGGCCCCGGGAGCGCCCGGCGGGGCTCCCTGCTGATGTCCCAGACGAAGGCCCCGCCCACCCCGCCCAGCCAGTTCAGAGTCCCCGCGTTCCCCGCTGGTGAGTGAGACGCCTCTCAGCGGGTTAAATCGCGGACAGTTACGTGTAAAGCTTGTAACCCGGACTGGGAGCGGGGAAGCCCTGGCCATGGCAGCCTCTGCGGCCCCTCCCGCCGGCGCCCGGCTCGGCTCAGCCCGGCTCGGCGAAGCTGTGGGTGCGCGTCCTCCTCCCGCCTCCGCGCAGCACAGTTCCTCTGCCGCTCGGGAGACGTCTCCGGCACTGTGGTTGTTACACTTTTCCTTTTTAATACATTTTTTATTGATTTCAGAGAGGAAGGGAGCGGGAGATAGAACATCAGTGATGAGCCCTAGCTGGTGCGGCTCAGTGGATAGAACGTTGGCCTGCGGACCAAAGGGTCCCGGGTTCAATTCCGGTTAAGGGCACGTACTTTGGTTTCAGGCTCCTCCCTGGCCCAGGCTCTGGTAAGGGTATGGGCAGGAGGCAACCAATCGATGTGTTTCTCTCTTTCTCTCTCTCTCCACTCTCTAAAAATTAATGGAAAAATATTCTCAGGTGAGGATTAACAAATAAATAAAACATTAAAAAAGAAAAAGAAAAAGAAACATCGGTGATGAGAGAGAATCATTGATCGGCTGCCTCCTGCACGCCCCACACTGGGATCGAGTCCAGGCCTGTGCCCTGACGGAATCGAACCGGGACCTCTGGTTCGCAGGTGGGTGCCCAGCCCCGGAGCCCGGCCGGCGGGCACTACGGGAGGGGACACGCAGGCCAGTGCCTCGCCCGCCCTTGCTTGGGGCTGGGGCTCTGGGCACAGCCTCCTCGCCCGGCTTCTCACAGAGTGGGAGTCAGTGTTATTAGGGTGACTCGTGGGCTGCAGCCTGGGGGTCTCGCTCGGACCCCCACCCGCCTGTCGTCACCGTGACGAGAAGAGCACCCGGAACACACCAGCCGCAGGCCTCACGGCAGCCACGGGGCCTCGAGGTGGCCTGGGGCGTCCGCTCAGGGAAATGAGGACGGCGGGCTGGGGGCTCGCCTGGAGCCGACCCCGTGAGCGGAGTCTGCCTCGTCTTCGCCACGTTCCCCGGCTCCTCCTGCCTGCGGTGGCACCGGGTGGGCAGCGGCAGGCCCCCCTCACCATGTTGGGCCTGGAGCCCTGCCGGGGCGGTGCCGGGGGCTCGTCTGAGCGCCTTCTCGCCCCACCCCCGGCACCTTGGGGAAATGGCCGTGCGGCGAGGGGCCCGGCCAGGCCCGGCCGCCTGACGGGCGGACTGACCGGCCCTCCTCTCCCTCAGGCGACAGCGCGACGCCCAGGCCCGCCGGGGCATGGAGGCCGCAGTCCTGCTCGTCGGCGGGGAGGTAATGACGACGTGACTACAGCGCGGCCCCTGCTCCCTGCGCACAGCGCCCTCCTGCAGCCCCCAGGGTCGTGGGCACGGACTCCCTCTGCGGGCGCTCACCCAGCGCTGGGGGCAGGCGTGGGAACAGGTGCCGGCGAAGCCTCTGTTCCCGTCGGCTCTGGTGGCCTCGGCCCTCTGTCCTGGGGGACCGGCTGCCAGTGGAGGCGGTCGGCTCCGCAGGCGCCTCTGACGGGCCCCGTGCTGCCGGGAGCCGTTCTGTTGAAACGGGACTCCCCTGCGTCCTGTCTTCCAGGGGGGCCCCCAGCACTCCTGCTCGGCACCCCGCGGGGCCGGCCGCCAGGACCCCCGCCAGCACCGCACGCGCGTCCGGCCTGCCCACGCCTGCCAGCCGCCGGCTCTCTAGCCTCCCGCTGCTGACCCCTAACACCGGGCCCAGGACCCGGGCTTCTCCCCTGTGCCTGTCCGCGCGGCCCCTGCCGTCGGAGCCCCCGCGGACGTCAGAGAGGTGAGCGCTGCGGGGAGACGGCGACCTGCCCTGGGGGGGGGGGCAGCGGCCCAGCACCCGCCGCACGGAGGCCCCCTCACGCTTTCCCTCCGCAGAGTGGCGCCCAGGAGCGGGGGCGGCCAGGCCGTGGCCCCCGGCTCCGACGAGTCCTCGGACGGGAGTCTTTCCCCGGCTGTGCCGCAGGCGCTCCGCTTTTCCCCAGAGAAGAGCGAGGCCCCGGTTCCAGAAAGTGCCACCACAGAAATAGCGCTGGACGCGGCCCGGCCCCCCGAGGAGGCGGCCCCCCGAGAGGTGAGGAAACGGACTCCTTGTCTTGGGGCCCCAGAGCCTGCCTGCAAGCCCCGGCCTCTGCTGGCCGGCCTCTGCCGTGTGACCGCGGGCCGGGTCAAAGGCCGGAGGGAGCGGGGTGGCCCTGGCAAGAGGGAGGTGCATGCGGGGTGGAGTGGGAGGGCAGCTCTCCCCGGGCCCCAGCCCGCCCTCCTCCCGGCATCCCACACCGTGAGCACCTGACACAGCCGGCTGGTTCCCGGGTGCCGGGAAGCACAAGCGCCGCCTCGAACCCTGTCTTCTCGAACCCTGTCCCCCGCAGGCTGTCCTCGTGGACGTCCTGCTGGACGTGAGCGTCACTCCAAGCACCAGGTGCCCCCTCGGCGACCCCCCTCTCATCGACGCCCCTCTCATCGACCTGGGCGCCACCCCAGAGGCACCCGTGGCTCTGGGACCTGGAAGCCGGCCTCTGCTCGACCTCCTGGTGAACACCCCGGACACGGACAGGAAACCCGCGGCCAGGCCGCCCCCCGGGGTGGGACAGGTGAGGCGGCGGAGGGCCCAGCTTCGGCCCCTGGTGGTCTCTGGGTTCTGGGTTTGCTCCTCGATTCCCAGACATCACGTGACCCGGGAGTGGCCTTGGAGGCCTCGGAGGGCAGCAGGCCTAGGCCCTCCTCATCCCTGGGCGCCAGGGCTCCAAGTTCACGGCCACGGAGGAATCCTGCCCAGAGTCCGGACCTGGGGGCGGGGGCATAGCTGTGTGAGGGACCAGCGTGCCTCGGTGGGTGGCGTTTGCTCCCACTTCCCAGTGCCCCTCGGGGGTCCGTGCGCCGAGCCAGCTTTATGCCGTGCCGTGGCCCAGGCTCCGTGCGGTCGGGGTGCATGGCTGGGACGGGCTCCGCGCCCTGGACGCCTGCTCACCCCGCTTTCCCTGCAGCTCATCGACCTGTGCTCCCCGCTGATCCAGCTGAGCCCGGAGGCCGACAAGGAGAACGTGGACTCGCCGCTCCTCAAGTTCTGAGCCGAGCCGCCCCACCCGTGCCCGCGGCGCCCACACCGTCCTAGTGGCGCCAGCCCTCCGGCCTGCCCCGTTGTAGAAATTACACGGAGGAAAGTTCCAAACCTCTGGGAATCCCGGGGCCGGGCTGCCCTCACTGCCGCCACTCGGTGAGCTGTCCAGTCAAAAATCCACGTGAACTTTTTGAGTCTTTTTTTAATGTAAAATAGCAAATGACTATTTTATGAACTAAGTGTGCATAAAAGTAAAGTATTCTAGGTTTAACTTAAATTGTAAAATAAGTGAACATAAATTAAAGCATATCTTGGTTTCAAACATACATGTATTTATCGTTCTCATCCATATGCGCGATTTACATCGTCCAAACTTGGAGATGGAGTGAGGCTGCGGAGGGGGTGAGGCGCGGTGCTGGGTGAGGTCCAGCTGGGAACCAGCGAGTGGTCTCACTGGCAGTGGATCTTAAAGGGCCCGCAGAGCAGACGGGGCCCAGAGGGGGCGGTGCGGTGGTGAGAGGGTGAAGGTGGTCAGAGGCACAAACCTCAGTTATTAGAACAGTCCCGGGGACGTAACCAAAAACAAGGGAACGAAATGGGTGTAAATGTATGGATCCGGGCAGCTGAGCGGTCTGCGCTCTCAGTGGGCGCCAGGACTCCGCTGAGCTGGCCGCAGACCTGAGGGGGGTGTGCAGCATGGAGGGGGGCATCCTCCGTAAGAAGGGAGGGCTGGGGGAGGGGGAGCCGTGGAGATGCCGGAGGGGTGTGTTCCTGACGGGACTGGTCCCACGTCACAGACGAAGCAGGCCTGCGGAGGGGCATGCGGGCCGCCGAACCGAGCCCCCTGCGGGACAGCAGCCCCCCTCCCCGCCCTCCATTTGGGGGACAGCAGCCCCCCTTCCGCCCCCCTCTCCTCTGGGGGACAGCAGCCCCCCTCCCACCCCCCCTCTCCTCTGGGGGACAGCAGCCCCCCTCCCCGCCCTCCATCTGGGGGACAGCAGCCCCCCTCCCCGCCCTCTATTTGGGGGACAGCAGCCCCCTTCCCCACCCTCTATCTGGGGGACAGCAGCCCCCCTCCCACCCCCCCTCTTCTCTGGGGGACAGCAGCCCCCCTCCTACCCCCCCTCCTCTGGCCGCAGAGGGTTCCAGGACAGTTAGTGCCCCGAGGGTCCCCAGACGCCTGGCCTCTGTTCACAGGAGACCGAGGCCTGGGGCTGCATTCACTCGACAAGAACTTACGGAGCCTCGCTGTGGGCAGGCTGCGTTCCTGCTGGATGCCGTGGGTGCAAAGCTCACCCCCGTCTCCTGGGGGCTTAGGTTTGGTGGGAGAGAGGCCATTGGGGCTCCCGCCGTCCTCTGCACCGGGAGGTGAGCTGCTGCCCCCCCCCCCCGGCCCCCCGCCGCCCTCCCTCCCCAGGCTGCCTGGGCCCAGCTGCTCTGCCTGCAGTTCAAGTTGTTGGACTTTATTCCTTTAGGCATAAGGGAGAGGCCCCACCCGTGTTAGGTAAAGCCCTTCCCGCCCGCTCCCGCCCGCTCCCGCCCGCTCCCGCCCGCTCCCGCCTGCTCCCGCCTGGCTCCGGGGCCCTAACCCGCCCACACAGGGCAGGAGAGGAGGCTGAGCTCTGGGCAGCACTTCCGCCCGCAGTGGGAGCTTCCCTCTGCCACTGGGCGGCCACCCTCCTGGGCTCCATAGGTCCCGTGTCATGTGACTATGGCATCTCTGAGCAGGGGCACTGGGCTGGCATTGTCTTTGCCAAGGTGGGTCCACTCAAGGACCTGGATTTACAAGAAGTTAAAGACTTGGCGCTACAAAGTAGCTGAGAGGTCTAACAGAAAAGCAGCAGACAACGCGTCACCAATGCATCCTGTTTCTTCCCCTTGTGGGCGGGCTGCCACATACGGAAACCCAGAGCCTGTTGCTTGGGCGGGAACTGGACAGCCTCTCCAGGAAGGACGTGGTCCTCCAGGCTGGGCCCCCAAATTCAGCGACACCAGCAGGGCCACGGCCACAGACGCAGCTGAACATGCCAAAGGCTGGTGTCCAGTTGCTGGGTCTCCCCATCTCTCCTGGGAGAGGCAGGAAGAAATTGCTTCCCTGTATCTCTGTGGCCCACGGGCACCCAGCACCCTCCCGCCCGCCCTGGAGCTCACCATGCCCCTCTTGGCGCCAGGGCCACAACTCCTCAGCTGTAGTCATTAGAAACGGGGCCTGCCTCGTCTCACTCTCCATTCTCAAGAAATGGCCTGCCTTGGTAATTACCCACGGGTAAACACGACGGCCGCTGGGGACCTGTAGATGGCAAAGAACCAGGAGATGTGCATCCCAGCATTGGTGCCGACTGCTGTACCATGTCCGCCCCGCATTTTCAAACCCTGGTTCAAATCCTACCGGAAACCAATGTAGTGGCCTGCACCCGCAGTTTACAACATGAAAAAGCGCCCTGGCTGATGTGGCTTGCTTGGTTGGACATCTTCCCACACAGCAAGAGGTTGCTGGTTCGAAACCAGGTCAGAGCACATGCCCAGGTTTCAGGCTAAATCCCAGGAAGGGGACATGCAGGAGGCAGCTGATCACTGTGGCACACAAACACGCACGCACACTGTCAGTCCTGAGTGGGGGGCAGGGGGGCGCGCACACACAGCCTGGGAAGAAGAAATTCATGAATGGAAGCCCAGGAAGGGCCTGCAGGCGGAACGCTACTCTCGAATCCCACGTTTCCGGCCGGGCCTCACTCTCGGAGCACCGCGTGGGGCGGGACTTCCGGTGTGGCCCGGAAGCGGCGGCCGCAGCAGTGGCGGAATAGGCGGCGCGGATGCTGGCGGCGCGGCACGTCGTGTGCGCCCTGTCCGGCGGCGTGGACAGCGCCGTGGCCGCGCTGCTGCTGCGGCGCCGAGGTGAGGGCGCCGCGGGGAGAGCCCGCTCGCGCCTGCGTGGCCGCGCTTCTCGCCGGACCCCCGTGCCCCCGGGCGCGTCTCGCTGGCCCAGCCCTGCGCTCGGTGACCGGCCCGCCCCTCAGCCCGGGGCCGCGCCCCGAGAGGTTCAGCGGACAAACTTCCCCGGAAGCCCTGCGTGCGGTGCACGGGGCTCGGCAGCGGGGGACCGGTCTGGGAGCGCAGAGGGAATGCAGGTTCCCGCCGGGCAGGTTCCCTGAAATGGGCGCAGCAGCCTCACAGGGTCACGGGGAGGACTGATGACGTCACGCACGCACAGGGGTCACCGGAGTCGGGCGGGGCGGTAGTGACGCCATCAGCAACCAGCCGGCGGACGGTTGTGACGTCATCAGGAACCAGCCGGCGAGGGCGGTAGTGACTTTAAGTGCGAGACTGCGGACTGCGACCTGGGCATCCGCTGCAGCCGGCAGGACGGCCTCCCCGAGCGGTGGCGGGGCAGGAAGGAAGAGGCGGTTTCACAGCCAGGACCTCCGCCTGGAGGGGGAAAGGGGCCGCGGGAGCGAGGCTGGCCTGGCTGGAGCCCTGATTGGGGCGTCTGGGGCTTAGATTCTGTGGGTAGAAAGTGCCCAGCCCTTGTTCCTGACACTCGATGAGACACGCTTTGGGAGACGTGGAGGATGCCCTGCGGAGACCAATGTCATTTCACTCTTATCTTGGGGAAGGGGCCCCGGCCCCGGCCTCCGGCTTCACAGCCAGCCTTCCTGGGGGAAGCTGATGGCCAAGGAAGAGAAAACACGTGGCGCTCTCACCTTGGCATCCAGGACTCCCCCGCCCCATCCTGTGCCCCTGGGAGTGAGGGACTGACGGGGGCGCCAAGGCCCCAGCCACGATGAGCCTGTGCCGGTGGCAGTGGGTCCATCTCCACGGGAAGCGTGGCCAGGCAGACAGGCGTGGAGTTCCTCGTTCCACAGGCCTGTGAAGCGCTCTGCAGGGCACAGCCAGGCGCTGGGGGACAGGGCTGCGGGGGAGAGAGCCTCTGCCTTCGCAGGGGCGCAGACAGAAGTCCTGGAGCCCCATGGCGGGTGCTTGGGAAAGTGGAGGGGCGGCTGGCTGCCTGCTGGGATGCAGTCTTGGCAGACGTGGCCTTTTAGGTTAGGCCAAGCCTCGTCCTGGGATCTGAGCATCCCGGGAAGCCTTTCAGTCCGATGCCGCTCCCGCTCCGTTGAGCTGCCTCCAGGAAACGGGGTTCTCTCCAGGCGGCGCCTGCGGGGTTCGCTAAGATGGGGTGAGGCTAGGTTGCTCTTCCCAGAGTTGGGTTCGGTGGTTTGTCGCAAAGAAAAGGGCAAGAAGTGGGTCACAAAACAGCCAGAACTTCAACCATCTGGAGTCTGAGGACTTGGGGTGCCGGGGAGTGACTTCAGAAATGAGCTCACTCTTCTGTGAAAGGTGCTTTTGTTTGTTTGGAAAAAATTGGGTTGAATTCCTGCTCTCCACTCACTCAGCACACGCTTGCTCAGGGTGGGGTCATGCTGGCAAAGCAGTTCCATTCGCTCAGACAGGCTCAGTGCAGCAGCAGCTGTGACACAGAGGCCTAGGAAGTGCTGAGGGGCGGAAGGGGGTAGGAGGGATTGTTTGGGAGGGAGCTACTGGAGGGGGGCTTGAGGGGGGGTGGCTTGCCCTGGGGTGGGGCGTGCGTCAGCTCTTAAGGCACAGCAGGGACTGCCGGGCGCAGTGGCGCAGGCACGGCGCCCGGGAGCCCTGTCCTCTCTGCGAGGCTCACGCTGCCTGTTCTCCGCGCTGCGCCCCCCCTCCCCAGGCTACCAGGTGACGGGGGTGTTCATGAAGAACTGGGACTCCCTGGACGAGCATGGCGTCTGCACGGCTGACAAGGACTGCGAGGACGCGTACCGCGTGTGCCAGGTCCTGGACATCCCCTTCCACCAGGTGTCCTACGTGAAGGAGTACTGGAACGATGTGTTCAGGTGAGGGCAGCGGGCGTCCCGCAGCCAGCTGGCCCGCACCAGCGCCCTTGGCAGAGGTGCCAGAGCCGTGCGGGAGGCCCAGCCCAGCCCCGGGAGCTCTGTGGGAGGCCCGGCTGGCTCCCATGGCACCCCGCGCCTGTTCTGACACCGGCCAGGAGTCTAGTTCCTCCTGAGCCCGGAGGTGTTTCTGCTGCTGACTTAGCCCGGGAGCTAACGCCGAGGCCTCCCTGTGCCCGTGCTGTGCCCTCGGCCGCTCTGCCGGCACGGCCTGCACGTGGGCCAGGTGCGTCTTCTCAGGAATGAAAAGGAGAGCTCCGTGCGTTGCTGAGTGACGTAGAGACGCTGCGCTAAGAGCTCAGCATCTCAGTTAAGGCTCACCATAACCTTCAAAGGCGTTATCCCATTTAAAGGATGAGAAAACCGAGGCTTAGAAAAGCCATGTGAGCCA